GAACTCCAGGCTGTGGGCAGAGTTAGCCTGCAGTATTCCACTTCACCAGCAGGGCTCACGATGATGCTCCAGGCCCATCCAGTTGGGGCAGATGTAACGGCACAATGCCGCTTTCATCATTTCGGGGGGAAGCAGCAAAACAACCACATACTGCCTGTTTTGTATGGTAAATGGTAACCATCTTCCCTTTGGTTTTCAAAGATCTCTGAGCTACAGGCACGCTCAGCAGTTATTTCTTGGAGTGCCCCAGTTGCAGCCCAGAACGAAGAAACGCAGAGTCTCACTCCTGAAGCCTTCACTTTTGAAGTAGCAGTTTCGAATAGCGGTAAAAATGGAAAATTTAAATCCGTTTACAGGTGAGTCCATTTTCACGATTGAATGGCACAGCTTTCATAGCTGGCCGCTTGACGGCCGGCGTCAATCAGGATTGTTTTCCAGCACCCTTTCCATGGAAACAATTTTAAAAGCTGAGCTTCTATTTGCTTCTACTGTTGAACTCCGAACTTCGCCAAATCCTGGAACTAAATTCCAAGATTAGCTTGCAGGCCTAATTTTTCTACTGTGCCATCATCCATCCTGCAAGCTGCAGGAAAGTCATTGTAAGCATGTTTTTATTTTTAGGATTTTTCCCTCTGTGCAAAAGGCAGAGGGATTTGGCAGAGGTTCGTTATTTTCTTGGTTATGATCTAACGGTATCTTTTTTTCTCTCCCCCTTACAGTGGTGAAGATGAAATTTTTACTCTGTCTGAACTTAGACCAGCGACTGATTATCATGTCAGGTGGGCTTGGAAAGCAAAGGTTTATCAATATCAAGACAATAAAACAAAGACCACAGTCTTTTAAATTTGGGCTGGGGCTGGGGCTGGAGGAGAGGCCTTCCATCAAGGGGTTCAGGGGACATGGGAATTGTCCTAGTGCCTGTAGAGGACTGGGGTTTTTGGGGGTTTATTTTTAAACCTCCTTGTTGGGGAACATTGGATCTTGTTGTCAAAATGAAAGTATAAAAGGTATTCAGGTTTAAAGTAGGTATTTGGGTCTGGGGAATGAGGAGGAAGGGAGGGATCTGGAGTGGTGAGTCTCTTCTTTTTTTTTTTTAATAAAAAGTTTTATTGTTTTTTTCCATTTTTTTCCAAAAGCTTAGGACACAATGTGGTCAGGGTGTCAAATCATTCAAAGACAAAATCATATAAGTATAGCTCAAATTAATCAAAAATTTCCTCTCTGTTTCCTGAATATAATATTGCTTATTAAAATTAATAAATTTTTAGGTAAAGTTCAATCAAACAAAAATCATCAATCACATGTGATTATAATAATCTATATCCTGTTTTTAAACTTTACTAATTACAATTGTCATACTCCAATTACGTTTTAGTAAACATATAGTTGGGATTTCAGGTATCCTTAATAATAGATCATTCATTGAGACTGATTTTTTCCCCTATCACAAATAGCTCCTCCTATCTCTCTATTACAACATAGTTATATTTAAAATACTATAAATCCAATAAGTACAGTTCTATTTTTAAAAATATATTCTATCATCAATCTACATCTATAGAGAATCATTTTAAGCCCTTGATAAAGTTTACACCTTCAAATACTTATCAACTATAATATCAAGAAATTCGAGCAGTGGGTCTCTTCTAATGAATCTACAAATAGGAGGACTATATTCCAAATGAAGTTCCTTAAATAGCTGTATGTCAGAGCCTTAGATTAACCATGGTCTGTTTTTTCAACTCTCAATGTCGTATGTTGGTAATTTCCTTGGTTTATTTTGTTTCATCGTATGTTTAGCATTACGTATCCTTAAGTTTACTGAAGACTTTATATGCCCCCTTTCAGAGCATTTTCCCATCTCAAACTAACCTTAAAAATGAACATATAAGGAGGAGTTAAAGCAGAATTAAAAACAACAACAACAACAGGGTAAGACCGAGGCTTTGCTTTTATAGCTATATCTATGTCTGTATTGCAGGGTTTCAGCCTCAGGTCATTCCACAAAGGAGTCTGTTTCAGAGTTGGTGAGTTTTACTACAGAGAGTTGTGAACCGGATCCTCCTGCAGCACCAAAAGTAGTCAACAAAACCAAAAACAGCCTGACTTTACAGTGGAAGGTAAGAAGGAAGCCGAGAATGAATCCAGAATTCTGTGTTGGTCACAACTGAGTTTTTCAAAGGAAATCTGGATTTTTGACCCTGCTCCCCCCTCCCCCTTTGCAACGATGTTCCTTACTGAGTGACAACTTGGCTTTGAATGCATTCGGCTCGCTTTGCACACACTTTTGTAGTGCACGCTCTGCGCAATAACTAAACATCAATATCAAGTATGCTTGGAAGTGAGAGGGGGGGAGAGAAATACAGGTCTTAAAAGTATCCTTGGAAATAAAGTTTTTATGTATTTATTGAACAAATCGATATAGCCACCAAACTTATACATAGGAGACCAGGGTGTACAAGGGGTGTCTGCTGAGGAAGTCAGAAGGTGAAATGTGCACCACCATGTTGTGAATCCAACATTGTGCCTTTTGTACTTGTGATACATGTTTTCTCACTCTGACAAGTACAAAAGGGCCAGTGTTGGATTCACAACATGGCGGTACACATTTCACCTCCCGACTTCCTCAGCAGACACCCCTTGTACAATGAAAATCCATTTTATTTCATTATGGATCTGGAGAACGGGAGTGAATTTCATGCATTTCCCATAGGAATGAAGTATTGGGAATGGTTAAAATTAAGAGGTAATTTCCTCTTTAAATAACCTAACAAACTGACCTTTATTTTCCCTCCCTTTCACAGTGCTCCAATGACAATGGGTCCAAAATAACTAGCTACCTTTTAGAATGGGACGAGGTATGTTTCTTGTGTTTAATGAATTTACTGTAAGTCTTAATAATTCTGAGACCTTGGGGCCAGACGTTGATGAAGACGTTGGACTGCATTTGTGTAAAACTAATGTAATAACAACAACAACAAACAAACAAATAACCCCCTGCTCAGGCAGGAAACTCTATACCATTTCTTCAGTGCAACATTCAGAGATGGCTGGGAGTTGACGTCCGCCCATCTTAAAGTTGCCAGAGTTGAGAAATTACTGGCCTAATGGCTTTTCTGTGTGAAAATGGAGATGGGGATAGGGGGACCGGGAGCAGGAAGAGGAGGAGGATTGTAAGCACCCTATAAGCATCACAGTTAACTGGATTTTTGAGAATCGTGTTATCCATCATTGGAGACTTAAGAACAGACTGGACAACCACTTGTCTGAAATGGCATAGGGCAGTAGTGGTGAGCCTATGGCACTCAGAGCCCTCTCTGTGGGCACCTGTGTCGTTGCCCCAACCCCGCCTCTCCCCAGTGGCCCCCTCATCAGCAGCCCCCTGGAGAGTCACCCCTGGACGTGGCCCACATGGAGCAGCGCAGTCAAGGACTGGGCAGCGGGGACAAGACACCGCCCTTGTGCCCCGTTGCGCGCAGATGATGCTGTGGGATGCGGGTGGAGGGCGTGGCTGCCATGGTGCTGTTGGGCCGCCTGGGCGGGCTGTGGAGGCAGTGGGTGGCCCTGTGGAGGACGGGGGGCGCGGCGGGGGCACTCAGTCTCTAAAAGGGCTTAGGGCTTGGGTAGGCAACCTTGGGTCTTTTATGACTTGTGGACCAACTCCCAGAATTCCTGAGCCAGCATGAGGGAAACTTTGGCCCTTTCATGACTCGTGGACTTCAACTCCCAGAATTCCTGAGCCAGCATGGCTCAGCTTGGAAACCTCTCCCTTTCCTCTCAGCATGGCTGGCTCAGGAATTCTGGGAGTTGAAGTCCACGAGTCATGAAAGGGCCAAAGTTTCCCTCATGCTGGCTCAGGAATTCTGGGAGTTGAAGTCCAAGAGTCATGAAGGGGCCAAGGTTGCCTACCCCTGGCTTAGGGTCTCCTGGTTGAGCAGAGGGTTGGAGTAGAAGACCTCCAAGGTCTCTTCCAACTCTCTCATTCTGTTATTCTTTGAAAAGGGGAAGAGCGGAGCCTTCAAAGAATGTTACTACGGCCATCTAAAGCAGCACAAAATCACCAAGCTGTCCCCCTCTACCAAATACACCTTCAGACTGGCGGCCAAAAACGACATCGGCATGAGGTAAAAAAAAAAGTGGGGGGCATGTTACGTCCGCCATTTCCCTTAAGGTTTCTCTTGCTCAGCTTCTTCCCTAACTCCGTGTTTTTTGCGCCCTGCAGTGGGTTCGGCGAGACGTTGCCATGCTTCACAATCGGAGTTGTCCCACCACCGCCCCAGCCCCCCCAGCTGGCTAAAGCAGGAGTGAACTGGCTGTCACTGAAATGGGGCTCTCCAAATGGCGCGTCTTCGGATGATTCCCTGACGTACATTTTAGAAATGGAAGAAGACGGTTCGGTGAGGAGCTTTTGAATCCAGGTCCTTGAGTTTAGAGTAGGCAGAGAGAAGACGTGGAAGAGAGCAGCTGCCCTCTGGGGCAGATTAGAAGGCTGCCTAGTGAATAATTGCGTTCTGTGCCATTCACTCGTCCCGGAGGATCTGGTAGTCAACGAGCCCTTTGGAGAGTCATTTAACGTCTTCCCCTTAGAAGAGGAGGGGATAGCCGTGGCAGTAAACAGGAGAGTTGTGTAGTGCTTTGCATTCAGAGACAAAAACCTGTTTTGGAGGGCACTGGAGAGAATCTCTATCGAGCATGGGGGCGGGCTAAAAGAAACACATTAAAATATGGGAAAATTGTTATTATTCCAGAAGTTAAGAAGTTGCTTTTGGAAATGTGTGATCTACTTGTTTTGAGAAAGGCAATATTTTCTAATAATCAAAGATGAAGCAATTTATATTAGTATGACAAAGCTTCTGGAATATTTTATAACGTTGCTTTGTACTACATTATGATACTGTGCTTATTAGTAATCACTGTCTGTCTGTCTGTCTGTCTGTCTGTCTGTCTGTCTGTCTCTCTCTCTCTCTCTCTCTCTCTCTCTATCTATCTATCTATCTATATCTTTATCTTCTATCTATCATCTATCTATCATCTATATCCTTATCTATCTATCTTCTGTCTGTCTGTCTGTCTGTCTGTCTGTCTGTCTGTCTGTCTGTCTGTCTGTCTGTGGTAGATTTTTTTCCCCAATCTTTGAGATGAATGCAGATTCTTTAACTAGGAACACAAATCCATTCTGAATAATTGGATTATGTTTTTTTTAAAAAAATACAATTGTCATGAATGTATACATTATATAATTCTTGACTATAAGGTGGAAAGTTTACTAAGGAATATGTGAGTACTGGATTTATCTTTTCTTTATGCAGGATTATGGCTTCCAAGCAGGGTACAATGGAGATGAGCTTTCTTGCACTTTAAGTGACCTTAGAAGAAACACTTCCTATAAATTTAGGGTAGGTACCAAATCCAAATGATCAATCTATCCACACGCTGAGAAACCCCTTATTCTACCCTAAAAAACTGCTGAATAGTGAATTGTTCCTACAAACTAGGTGAAATATATCCTCTTCAAAGCTCTAGGACAGGGGTCTTCAAACTTGGCCCTTTTATGACTTGTGGACTTCAACTCCCAGAATTCCTCAGCCAGGCTGGCTGAGGAATTCTGGGAGTTGAAGTCCACAAGTCATAAAAGGGCCAAGTTTGAAGACCCCTGCTCTAGGAGAAGTTTAGACTTCCATTTAAAGACCTTGGAAATGATTTGTCTAGTATTAGTCTAGTCGAATACTGAGGAACCTGAGTAGCAGCAACTTTATAAGAGTTTTCTTTTTTTTAATTTCTATCTGGAGACACTGAGGTTGGAATTTGAGATTTTCTTTATGCAAAGCTGGTGTTGCTGACTTGAGACACTTCTGTGAACCTCTCTATGCTGCCCAATGTTCAGCTATCCTTTATTAGCTTGCAAAATATCTTGTTCATTGATTGGAAAATCATGAAGATTCTTGAGTCTGTGGAGTCCTTGGTGCTCTCTGACCTAGGCTGCTTGGGGATGTTGCATTACCCAACTAGGTTGCCCCATGAGCATTGACGGTATTACCTAGTTGAATAATGAAATATCAACAAGCAAGCAACCAATCTCAGAAAGCACCAAGGACCCCACAGTTGAATCCTGAGCTACAAAGATTCTTTTGCTTTGAATTCTTCGGTCTACCAACTTCCCTTCCACCACCAAGTTCTGCAGGTCTCCTCTGACAGCCCTTCCTGGTTACTTTGTGCTCAACTTTATAACTATTTTCACACGTTATGAAGAGAGTGGGGTTATTCTACATGGGAATATCTTCTTTAGAGTCATTGTGTGGACTTTTAGGGTTTTTTGTGGCACCTTGTAGGCCAGGAATACATGGATGGCCTAGTGGAGAAATATGTCCCAAAGGTGTTTTTACAAGAGGCAAGTGGACTTTCTTTGTTTTTTCCTCAAAGACTTAAGATGCTTCTCATCCAAGAAGAATGTCAACGCTGCTAATATTGAATATTCTTGCTTTGACAAAATATGCAGAACTGTCTGGTACTTTTAGAGTTAATTCAGATGAGAATAAGAGAGGAGAGAAAAGCCCATGGAAGGGAAGGGAAGTGAATCTTTGCCCTCCAGGTTAATTGGAAGATGTGAATCATGACTCCAAAATAGGGGAGGGGAAATGCCTGGAATGTTATGTGCAAAGGAAGGGAAATTCAGATCTTGGCATCCTCCATGCCGTGCTGACACTCCGTCATACTAATAAAGGCTTTTTAGGTTAAACAATGCCTGAAAGTTCTTTGAAGTGTTTCATTAGTCAGACACATGACAAAGAAGTTTTTTTGGGATGAGAAGCATCTTAAGTCTTTGAGGAAAAAACAAAGTTCAGTTTCAGAACTGAAAAAGCTTGAACGAGAAGCAAAACGTCTTCAAGTAAAAACAAGGAAGGTCCAGTTGTCTTTTGAAAAAGCACTTTTGGGACAACCATGATCTGGATGACTGAGAATCTCCGTAGACATTTAGTGGAGAAAGAATTTTGAATCTTTGTTCCCCGTATAAAAGGCTCTGATGAAACAAAAAAAAATGATGTACAAATTCTTAACTAAGTTTCTTCTCTTTTGTGATGGGACAGTTGTTTGCTCACAACACTGAAGGAAAAAGTGGGCCTAGCGAAGTTGTGGAGTACAGCACCTGCCCTGACAAGCCTGGAGCTCCTAGCAAGCCAGCTGTAAAGGGGAAAATCCATTCCCATAATGTGAAAGTTACCTGGGGTAAGGAAACTTTATTCCTTTGCTGAAGCTCTCCGTTGTCCCTGCCCAGTCCTTAGTTGTGGTAAATGGAAAGAGATGCATTGTTGTTGTTAGTTGCGAAGTCGTGTCCGACCCATCACGACCCCATGGACAACATTCCTCCAGGCCTTCCTGTTCTCTCCCATCTTCTGGAGTCCATTTAAGCTCACACTTACTGCTTCAGTGACTCCATCCAGTCACCTCCTTCTCTGTCATCCCCTTCTTCTATCGCCCTCCATCTTTCCCAGCATTAGGCTTTTTGAGATGCATTCACACTGTATTTTTTTTTCTGGTTCTGTAGCAAATGTCCAGGTTTTGCAGAACAAATCTGAGATTGAATAAAAGGCCAGTGCATTGCTTTTTGTAGACGAGAGCTAAATTGTTCAACCCTGCGCCTTCCTTTCTGAGCCCAGCTCTTTGTTTGAAAACATATAGAAACATTGTTCAGGACAGCTTTCCTTAACATATTTTTCAGTCCCAGCAGTATGTTATTTGCAGTTAATTATCCTTGACTTAAAACTTTGATTTTCTTTCAGTTCTAAACCATTTTTGCATTTCTTCTTAAATTAGATCCACCAAAAGATACCGGAGGATCAGATATTTCTTCATATGTCTTAGAAATTTCCGAAGCCTCTCCTGGTAAGCACCTGAATATTTCACTTGGTCTGTATGTTTCTTAAAAAATGGAATCAATCACGCTTTGAATTGATCCGTTAAAATAATTGGGACAGGTTAACGATAACTAATGATAACGATAACCCCATTGATTTCATGGTGTCTGCTTTAAGCCTTTATACAAAATCATGTTACTGCAGATTCTTATTAACCCAGGGGATTGCTCATTTCTCACCTGAGAAATTCTCCAGCGCATGAGAAAAAAGAGACATTGAATGGAAGAGAACAGTCAGGATCCACTTTTTATAGCATTTGAAGGTCTCTTCTGTTGCAAAAGGAATTATTTTCCCAGCATTCTCCCAGGAATAATGGCTTGTGAACAGATCTTTTTTTTCCTTGTTAGGCAGTAAATGGGAAACGGCTTATAAAGGTTCCACGAGAGAACATGTATGTGCCCATCTCAAGCCTGGTACTTCCTACAGGCTGAAGGTTTCTTGTGTTGGTAGAGGGGGGCAAAGTCAGGTAAGGAGAAAAATATGCCTTGGAAAAAAAATACAAGCCAAATTTATGTTTTGTATTTGTAAGGTATGTCATTCCTGAGATTAGGCTGCAGTTGGAATTTGGAAGGAGAAGGGAATGGGTGGATTGTCATACCCACAAACTAACATAGTGGACTATAACAAATCTGAGCCTATGCTTGCAGTTAATTGCTTTGTTTCACAATAGTCCTCAACTTACAATAGTTCGTTTAGTGACCGTTTGAAGTTTCAACGGTACCAAAAAAAAGTAACGTATGACCGTTTTTCACACTTACAACTATTGAAGCATCAAAATTCAGACTTTTGGCAACTGACTCGTATTTATGACGGTTGCAGTGTCCCGGGGAGGGGGGGTAATCATGTGATCCTCTTTTGCGACCTACTGACGAGCAGAGTCAATGGGGAAGCCAGATTCACTTTGCAGCCGTGCTACTCGCTTAACAACTGCAGGGATTCACTGAACAAGCTAGAAAGGTCGTAAAATGGGGCAAAATTCACTTAATAAACGTCTCACTTCATAACAGAAATTTTGGGCTCGGTTGAGGTCGTAACTCGAGGACTACCTGTGTTTGCATTTGTTTGGGGCGTGGCGTTTCTTGTGAGTTGGGTGGCCGTCTGAACGCTTTAAGTAAATCAGCAAGTGAGGTGTGATTTCTTTTTTAGCCATCCGATGTACTCACTGTCCAGACCTCAGCTGTTCCCCCTGGGCCGTGTAGTCCTCCGTGCCTGGTTGGCAAAGCCAAGCCTAAGGAAGTTATCCTGCAGTGGGGTAAGATCCCAGATCGTAAGAAAACAGAGTATAAAAATGTATAAGTACTGTCATTCAATTAGAATAAAATTACTGTGTAACCCAGAAGTGGTGCAGTAACTCCCCCCCCCCCCCGGTCCCATCCAGCCAAACCAGAGAATACTGGGGGTTGTAGTTGAACGCCCACTTAAAAAAATATACAGTTTTTTTCCACCCTGGGAAATTGAACGGCCTCAAAAATTCCTATATCTTCTTTTCTCTCCAATAAATCTGGGACTAGATGTAGCTCATTATACTTTAACAGCGATGTTTCTGCCTCCCAGAGGTTTTGGAACACAGTGAAATCCTATAGTCTGGGGAAACGTTAGAAAGGCCCAATAAAATTGAAGTGGCACTCTAAACAGAGTCACAAAAATCAAATAAGCATTACAAAAAAAAAAAAGTAAACAGATTAAAAGGCATACCTCTTTTTTCCCCCCCTCTGGAATTGCTGCAAAGCTGGTTGAGCAGCGAGACAGTGAGTTGAGCCACAAGTATGGTGTGGAAGCATCTCTGGAGCTCTGCTTTGAAACTAGGGTTACTCCTCCCCTCTTGATTTTTTTTCTTCTTCAGTGTTATTTTTGACTGCTGGGAAAAAACAACAATGGAACAGCAACAAGCAAAACATAAGGCCAAAATAATCCCCTCTCTGTTACCTGGTTAAATATAATTTTCCTGATTATTTTGCATAGGAATATACCTATTCTGTCAACTTTGCTGATATGGGAGAACAGTAATAATAATAATAATAATAATAATAATAATAATAATAATAATAATAATAATAATAATAATAATAATAATAATAATAATAATAATAATAATAATGATAATAATAATAATAGAGATGGAAGGGACCTTGGAGGTCATCTAGTCCAACCCCCTGCTCAGGCAGGAAACCCTATACCATTTCGGACAAATGGCTGTCCAGTCTCTTCTTAAGAACTTCCAGTGTTGGAGCATTCACAGCTTCTGGAGGCAGGTTGTTCCACTGGTCAATTGTTCTAACTGTCAGGAAGTTTCTCCTTAGTTCTAGATTGCTTCTCTCCTTGATTAGTTTCCACCCGCTGCTTCTTGTCCTGCCTTCAGGTGCTTTGGAAAATAGCTTGACTCCCTCTTCTTTGGGGCAGCCCCTGAGATGTTGGAAGACTGCTATCATGTCCCCCCTCGTCCTTCTCTTCGTTAAACTAGACATACCCAATTCCAGCAGCCGTTCCTTATATGCTTTAGCCTCCAGTCCCCTAATCATCTTTGTTGCTCAAAGTTGATCAGATAGCTTAAGAGATCTTGGAGTAGACTTAGTTAAAAAACATTATTGATGGAAATGTTCTTCAAAACAGATGGGGACTCTTCTTTTTGTCAACTAACATAAAGAAAGAGAGAAGACGGGCGGGAGGAAAACAGACCTGGAAAGGCCGAATGTTCTTAGCCTTTTCTGATTTGTGTTAGTTGTGTTAGAATGCACTCCCTGCTCAGGGCAGATCCATTACAGTCATGTTTTTCAAACTTGGCAAACTTTAAGCTCCAGTTTCCAGAATTCCCCAACCAGCAGCATTAGAGCTTTTTTTTTTTTTTTACAGATGACTCTGTCAAATGAAACAATGAATTGGTGGTATCTCTGGACTGAATTTTCCATAGAAGCAGCCAATGTGGCGAAGCATCCTCTAAAAGCAGTTTGCTCATGGTCATGTCCTGTCTTGCAGATCCTCCTTCAGTAGACGGGGGCTCAGAGGTATCGGAATACCTTCTAGAAATGGCAAACAGCGACCAAGAAGAACGCCGGCAAGCCTACCGTGGTCAAGCTTTGGAATGCACCGTGAATGGTCTTCTTCCTGGGCGAACATATTGCTTCTGGATACGGGCAGCCAACAAAGCAGGGGTAGGCATTTGGGGGGGGTGTGTTTGTCTATAAATGGTTTGTTTAAAGCAATGTTTTTCAAACTTGGAAACTTCAAGATGGGTGAACTTCAACTGCCCGATGGCCCAGCCTAGCTGGGGGAATTCTAGGTGTTGAAGTCCACCCATCTTAAAGTTGCCAAGTTTGAAAAAAACTCTAGTTTAAAGCATCTGCTGGCGCAACCCTTGTAGACTGTTCAGGGACAATCTGGAAACCCAAGTCTTGAACTCTGAATGACTGAGTGGAAGCAGATACTGTAGTTATATGCTTTTTGCAAACGTTTTAATTAGAACCCTGGAGAATTTTGAAGGGAAGGAGAGGTTGAGCATGACCCAATGTCTTGGAGAGGACTTGGTCTACTGTTATTAAGGAACTCCACATTCTGTTTCCCCTGATAAAGCAGGAAATTTTAGCTCCTGTACAGGAGAAAGAAAAACAGTGGGAGAAAAAAATGAGCTTCTCCGTTCCTTTTTTCCCCCCTTTCCTAATATTTTGGCTGAGGGAAGAAAAGGGCGTGAAGGTGGGTCTTTATGGAAGTAGCATTCATCAGATAATGACTACATTAGGATCCCTAGATTTGAGCAGGGCTTTCCTTAATCGGTCCCACCTTGATGGTCTTACAGGAGTATGTTGCACTAGGTCAGGGGGGGCCTAGCGGGTAGTCCAAAATTACCAGATTTGGGGTCCTGCAGATAATCCACTCAGCATAGTTTTCTCTTTCATATATCTTAATCCTCTTATACACTGATAAAATTTTACTGACAGAATTGCAGACAAAAGTGTATCCCTTTGACCTAATGTCTTCAAATATTATTGGAGCAGAAGCAAGATTAGGAATGGAGCAGTGCCTGCACTGTGAAACGAGCATATGCACTGGGCCTAAATCAAGGCCAGAAACTAAATTCGGTGGATTCGTGGAAGAATGGAACAATCTTGTTCGCCATACTGGAAGAATTGTCGGGAAGCCACTGATGTAATAATGACTTGGTCCATCTCTCAGCATGTTTATAATTTTGTGGTACTCTTTCCCTACAGCTCGGCCCTTGCTCAGAAAAGGCAGAGATTTCTACAGCTCCAGGGCCCCCCGATCCATGTCCCACCCCCCTCTTAACGTGCAAAACTGCTACTTGTATAGTAGCTACATGGGAGGTAAGTGGAGGGGTTTTTTTGCCCCTTTCCCTTCCAAATAAATGCAATAAATATGTTTCTGTAGGAAGACTATTCTGCAAATCAAAAACTAAGGACTCTTCACAGAGTTTATGGTTGGCCAGGTGTTGTGGCATAATTTTGTGACATCACCCTGCCAACAAAAGTGCGTATAGTCAAGGTCATGGTTTTCCCAGTTGCAATGTATAGCTGTGAAAGTTGGACCACAAGAAAGGCTGAGTGCCAAAGAATTGAGGCCTTTGAACTCTGGTGCTGGAGAAGACTCCTGCGAGTCCCCTGGACTGCAAGGCGATCAAACCGGTCAGTCCTAGAGGAGATCAACCCCAACTGCTCTTTAGAAGGCCAGATCCTGAAGTTGAAACTCAAATACTTTGGCCACCTAATGAGAAGGAAGGACTCACTGGAGAAGAGCCTGATGCTGGGAAAGATGGAGGGCAAGAGAAGAAGGGGATGACAGAGAATGGGGTGGCTGGAGGGAGTCACTGAAGCAGTAGGCGTGAGCTTAAATGGACTCTAGAAGATGGCGGAGGACAGGAAGGCCTGGAGGAACGTTGTCCATGGGGTCGCGACGGGTCGGATACGACTTCACAACTAACAACAAAGAGCTTTTTTCCCCCCTTTTCTCCATGTTGGAAGCACTTCAGTGCTTCCAAGGCAAAAGGATTTTCCGGTGACATCGCCGTTGCCAGGAGAGTGCCCAGTTGGGGGCTTCTTTCGCTCCCCTGTGAAGTTGCCCACTGAAGTGGTACCCATTTATCTCATTGTGGTCGCCCGCTTTTGAACTGCTGGGTTGGCAGGAGCTGGAGCGTGCGACGGGAGCTCAACCAGCCCCGTAGCAGCAATGGGTCTCAAATGCGACCCTGACGATCATCAGCCCCGTGTTCTAGCCTCGTGAGCCACCGCACTCCAAACAATGAAAAATTCCAGAGCTCAGATTTTGGGAAGAAGACTCGCCTTCTCTTTCCGTCTCCTTTAGCATTCCTTGTCATGTGCCATACCACATCTGTGCTTGCAGCGCTTTTGAACGACCTGTGTGACATTTCTTATTCCTTTGCAAATTTGTGGTCCTTAGGAACGTCCCCCAAACGCAGGATTATGGTTTAGGGTTTGTTAGCTTCGCATTTTCCAGGTACTTCAAGGCAGTAGATGTAGTAATCCTTAAGTGAAGCTGTAAATCAGGGGTCCCCAACCTATGGGCCGTGGCCCACTGGCCACCAGGCCACGGGACAGGCTGACCAGTGCACACACTTGTGTGTGCGCATTCATCCCCACTCGTGCTAGCGCCCACAGACTTGTTCGAGCATGCGTGCGGGGCTAGCAGCGGCAGCTAGTGCCTGCATGCCTACGCAAACAGGGCTGCTAGCCCTGTGTGGGTGCACACGGCCCCGTTTCCACATAGGTGTGTGCAAATTTCCCAGCTGCTCCCTTTCCCTCCGGGCCGCCAGCATGAAAAGGTTGGTGATCTCTGCTGTAAAGTGCGAAATAACTGCCAAATGAACTGAACAGGGCAGAGCACACCCAAAATTGACTTTACTAGAGGAGAAAATCTTCAGTCTATCTTTTGATGACCCACGAGAGTCTGAAGGTTCTTTACCTACTGTCGTTAGATAGGGACTCTCTGAAAGATGATGGGCTTCTACGTTCTTCTAGTGGGACCCCTTTTGTAGAACGTCTGAATTACAATCCCACATCAATAAATAGAAAGTGCCATAGCCATCTTCTATGACAGAGGTCCCAACCCCTGGTCCGTGGACCAGTACCGGGCCATGCATGCCAGCAACCAGTCCGCACAAACAAGCAAAGCCCCATCTGCGGGATGCAGGCAGCACACAAAACCACGCACCCTCCGATCCGCGGAAAACCCTCTATCCACGGAACCGGTCCCTGGTGCCCTCTGTTCTATGAAATTCATCTGCAGTTTATGAACGCAAATGTTAACCTCTAAACCTTTTCTTTCTAATTTCTCCAAGAGCCCACCATGTAATGGGGCAGAAATTAGTGAATACAGACTAGAATGGGGACAAATGGAAGGATCTATGCATGTAGTCTATACCGGCCCTCTGCTATTCTACGAAGTGAAGGGACTGTCTCCTGCAACTACTTATTATTGCAGAGTACAGGTACGTACGTGTAGATTGGGAGGCAGCATTCTTTTTTCCCTGAAATTTTAAGACATCACATTATGTTAAGGCCCTGAGCCTTTAGTGAGGAAAATAAATGGAATAAATGGAATTTTTTTTCAATGAAAGCCTGAAACATCTTAAACGATTCATTGCTGTGCAAAAAACGGATACTGTTGTTTTTACCCTAACGGATGCTGGGATCCTTACATTTCTTGGGATGCAGTGTAACAGAATTCCATATTTTGAAGAAATATCTATGGAGATTCTCCGTCATCCAGGTAAAGGCTGTCCCAAAGGTGCTTTTTCAAGAGACAACTGGACTTTCTTTGTTTTGAAGATGTTTCACTTGTCATCCAAAAAGCTTCTTCAGTTCTGACTGAATGGTGGGGAATGAAAAGATTTATAGGAGAACAAACCCATCAGGAGAAGGTTCAGCCGTCCATCTGCATTTAAAAGACAAAGGCCACTCTTTTGAAGACAGCAAAATCCACATTTTGGACAGAGAGGACCGCTGGTTTGAAAAAAGGGGTCAAAGAGGCCATCTATGTCAAAATTGAATAGCCCTCTCAACAGAAGGAGTGGGGGATACGACATCATCTATCTCCTGTCTACAACACAGTCCTTTCAGCAGTTCCAAAAAGGCTCCACACCCATTTGCACTACTCAGGTGACCCTGAGGACACAGATTTATTTATTTATTTATTTATTTATTAATTGTATTTATATCCCGCCCTTCTCCTTTCGGACTCAGGGCGGCTGACAAATGATAAAAAGCTAACATATTACACCTAGTTAAAATTTGATTAAAAGCCTCCAAGTTGCCTTAAGGACTCTAAAAGAATGCAAATGACCAGCTATCCACAAGGAATATAAATCCTTCCATTCCCCACCATCCAGTCAGAGCTGAGGAAGCTTCTTGGATGAGAAGCGAAACGCCTTCAAAGAAAAACAAGAAAGTCCAGTTGCCTCTTGAAAAAAGCTCCTTTGAGACACATTTTGAAGAATAACTTCTGACAGGTCCACCAAACCATAGTTGTAATAATAAAGTCTCTTTCTAAGTCAAATTTGATTTCTAGTGGTTTCACGAATATATGCATGCGAGATTTTTGGCAACAGGTGTGTCTAAAATTTCTTTCTGAGATATTTTTTGAACTCATATAGCGCTGGGGTTTTCTGAAACTCCTGTTTTTTTTCCTGCAATTTTTATTTTAACAGCAACCTATCCTGTCAAAATCAATCAGGTGCTGCCATCTTGTGTAGCAAAAATATATTACTTTTATAGAATACAAATATTTAAGAGAAAAAGAGTCTTAAGTCAAAGAGAAATTCAGCATGTCAGTTTGTCATTAAACGAGATGAAAAACAATGTTTTTCAAAACACCGTTATATTTTCAGATCTCTTCTGCAGTAATCTTAGTAGGACTGTAAAACATTGGAAAACTTGTCTCAGTTGTACTTCTTTTCAATGGTTCTAGTGTGAAGTTAATACCACCCAATGTCTCCATTTCAATTCAGAGTTAAATAAAGCTTCATGATAAAAATAGTGATTTGTATTTCTTCTATGGACCAATCATGAAATCTCAGAGAGTAATAATATTTCTTCTCTTTTGTGGCCTAGATCAGGGTTTCTCAGTCTCAGCAACTTGACGATGTATGGACCTCAACTCCCAGAATACTCCAGAAGCGGATGGCTTTTTCAGAATTCTGGGAGTTGAAGTCCAGATGTCTTCAAGTTGCTGAGATTGAGAAACACCGGCTTAGATCAATCTCAGTTGCTCACGCAACTGGCTTTTTTGAACTCCTGTCTAGGATGATTGTACTTACTATTATTGGTCTGGTTATTTAGGATTAAATGCACATCCAGGGGTGTCCGTGTTTGCTGGGCGGGGATTAGGGGAGTTAACATCCAAAACATCTGGAGAACATTGTGTGGAGGAACCAAGATGGAGATGCTTGAGACTTCACACTTCTTCTTCTTCTTCACACTTCTCTCTCTTGGTTTTTTTTTTTTTTCAGGCTGTGAATCTGGCTGGTGCTGGATTGTTTGGGGAGATAAGCACAGCGACCACCCCGGCTTCAGTGCCAGCAGCGATGGCCGTCTTGAACTTGCTTGAAGAAGATCAGTTGGAAGGTCTTCCTCTCTCCACGTGCCTTGCTCTTCTCTGGGAGGAGCCCTGTTGCCATGGGGCAGAGATCATCGGCTACCACATAGAGTACGGGGAGAAACAGGTCTTAACAGTCAACAGAGTCACAAGCCATGTTCTGGAGAACCTGCACCCTGACACTTTATACAGGTGATTGGCCATTTTCGATCACCGCACACAGGGTTGGACGGGGCCAGCTCGTGTCTCTTCAGGTTTTTATTCATTAAATTTGCATGCTGCCCATTTCACTGTCAGTTGTACAATGATATCTACAGGTCATCCTTGACTTACAACGGTTTGTTTAGTAGTAGTAGTAGTAGTATCTACAGGTCATCCTTGACTTACAACGGTTTGTTTAGTAGTAGTAGTAGTAGTAGTAGTATCTACAGGTCATCCTTGACTTACAACGGTTTGTTTAGTAGTAGTAGTAGTAGTAGTAGTAGTAGTAGTAGTAGTAGTATCTACAGGTCATCCTTGACTTACAACGGTTTGATTAGTAGTAGTAGTAGTAATAATAATAAATAATAATAATAACGATATCTGTTATACCATCAAACATCCACATCTGCCTATCCCAGGTCCTTGGTAAGGACTCGATAGGTAGACAAAATGCCAAATCCAGTCTGAACATCTGGCTGACTGTGTGATGATCCATAATAATAATAAAGTTGGAAGGGACCCTGGAGGTCATCTAGTCCAACCCCCTGCTCAGGCAAGTAACCCTATACCATTTCAGACAAATGGCTGTCCAGTCTCTTCTTTAAAACTTCCAGTGTTGGAGCATTCACCGCTTCTGGAGGCAGGTTGTTCCACTGGTTAATTGTTCTAACTGTGAGGAAGTTTCTCCTTACGACTTACGACCGGTTTTCACACTTATCATCACCGTTGCAGCATCTCCATAGTCACATGATCAAAATTCAGATGCTTGGCAGCTGGTTCGTGTTTATGACGGTTGCAGTGTCCTTATGTGGTCCCCTTTTGTGACCTTCTGACACCTTCACAAGCGCGTTATTAACTTAACAGCTCCGGCAATTCACTTAATCCCTTTGCAAAATGAAGGTCATTAACTGGGCCACAATTCACTTAACAACAGAAAAGGTTGAGCGCAATCGTCACAATTCGAGGACTCCCTTTAAATCAGAGCAAAGGTTCCTTCGTGCATTCCGAGTCTGTCGTCTTCTCCTCTCATACAGGGGACCCTGGGTGGTGATCTTCTCCTAACGCCCGCTTTTTCTCTTTTTTCACTCCCTGGTAGAATCCGAATTCAGGCCTTCAACAGTCTTGGAACTGGTCCTTTCAGTCCCTCCATTAAAGCGAAGACAAAGCCTTTACCTCCAGACCCTCCACATCTGGAATGTGCCGTCTTCAGTTACCAGAGCCTTAAGCTGAAGTGGGGTGAAGGTCCGAGCAGAGCTTTAATTGCCAACCCCACCCAGTTCAACTTACAGATGGAAGACAGGCTGGGCAGGTGAGATATATTGGCCTCATCGTGCCTGGGAAAAGTGCCTTTGAAGTGGCAGATTCAAGATTTAGAGAAACAATAACAATAACTACCCAAACCTCTTGTGCATGGAGAGCAAATGAAAAGACATATTTGCTTGCTTAACTTCAGTGTCTTCGGGGAGATTACTTACGTTGCCGTAATACTCTCCCCCAAAAATATTGTTTTGAAGTTCCCCATCATCTAATTCAGGGGTAGTCAAGCTTGGCTCTTTTATGACTCGTGGCCTTCAATTCCCAGAATTCCTGAGCCAGCTTAGCTGGCTCAGGAATTCTGGGAGTTGAAGGCCACGAGTCATAAAAGAGCCAAGGTTGACTACCCCTGATCTAATTGAATGCCTTGGGCTACACTCCTATTCTATTGAATAGTGTAATCAGGGATATAACAGAATTACAAAGTTGGAAGAGATCCCCTGTTCAATCAGGAGACTCTATACCAGAGGTCCCCAACCTTTTGGGCACCAGGGACCGGTTACACGGAGAAAGGTTTTTCTGCAGACAGGAGTGTGGTTTTGTGTGCTGCCTGCATCCCATGGATGGGGCTTTGTGCGGACCAGTTGCTGGCATGCTGCGGCCCGATACTGGTCCACGGACCCAAAGGGGGTTGGGGACAAACAGCTGCCCAATTTCTTCTTACATGAATACGTTCAGTTGATAGGAAGAGAAAGCCAGCCCATCAAAACTCAAAGATCTGATTAAGTGCACTTATTTGAGATTTATTTCTCTGCCACTTTCCATTAAGAAACAAAAACGCTCCACAGCTGCTATGACACATGGAGGAAAGTAAAATATTTAATTGGGGGAATAGTCTTCATGGATGATGCACACCTAATAAATCTTGCTGGAGCGTGATCTTTAGAGATTCTTGTCCTCAGAATGTCGCTCAGTCTTTGCCATTTGCTGATAGATAAAAGTCTGTGTGTGGTTTACAAAGCTGGTGAAAGCTGCCCTGATCAAATTCAAGCTAGCAATGATGTGTCACGCACTGCCGGACAACAGAGACTGTTTTAGCCCATGCTGTGAACATGAGTAGGACTCAACAACTTTGGGGTTTATTGACTGAATCAGGAATGCTTGAGTAATAGTAATAATAAAGTTGGAAGGGACCTTGGAGGTCATCGAGTCCAACCCCCTGCTCAGGCAGGAACCCTATACCATTTCAGACAAATGGCTGTCCAATCTCTTCTTAAAAACTTCCAGTGTTGGAGCATTCATCGCTTCTGGAGGATGTTATTTTTGAGACACCAAACCTTTTAAAAGAAGTTCACCTGCATGATTGGTGGGTGGTCCCAAAGGTGCTGTTTCAAAGAGCAGCTGGACTTTCACATCTCTTCTCTTCCCGTTTCAGGTTCATCACTGTCTACAGTGGACCTTGCCACACCTATAAAGTGCAGCGGCTGAGTGAGTCTACGACATACTATTTTAAAATCCAGGCATGCAACGATGCAGGTGAAGGGGACTTTTCTGAAGTTTACGCCTTTGCCACAACCAAATCACCACCGCCTGTCGTGAAAGGTGAGGGGCATTTAGCACATGTTAATGGTGTTTATAAAATGGAGCAAGATTTGACCCCTTCAAAGGAGAGCTTCTTCAATACATGAGTGTTCGATTATGCTTTGATAAATGATACTTAAAGATATAGGGGGTTTTGGGTTTTTTTTGCCAGCCAACATAGTTTTGAAAGAAATTAGACTGAATTTAGTTAAAGGCAGGATGGGTCTCCTCCTGTCACTTTGTTTTAGAAAAATGTAGATCAGTGTTTCTCAACCTTGACAATTTTAAGGCATGTGGACTTCAACTCCCAGAATTCCACAGCCAGCAATGCTGGCTGTGGAATTCTGGGAGTTGAAGTCCACATGCCTTAAAATTGTCAAGGTTGAGAAACACTGATGTAGATGGTCCTCAGATAAAGCGCACAAATTGCAAAATGTATCAGCCCTCCCAAACCTTACCTTCAATGATCCAAAACCACTTCTTAGAAAGCCCTTATTTAGATGTCCCTGTTGTGATTGGGTAAATGCATTTGTGTTGTCATTTCCCAAAGAAATAATAATAATAATTTAATTTATACCCCGCCCTTCTCCTCATAGGACTCAGGGCGGCTAACAGCCTTATAAAAACCACAATACAATAATACAATAATATCTATATTAAAAACCGAATTAAAAGAAAATATTTAAGGAGGCCAATCATTAAAATTATCCTTAAAATTGCCCTTAAAAAACCCCGCTAAAATTCCCTAGGCCAGACCCGCTTGTTGAAAAAGCCATGTCTTTAGGGCGCGGCGGAAGGAGGGGAGATCCGGAGTCACCCGGATCTCTGGGGGTAGTTCGTTCCAGAGGGTGGGGGCTCCCGAGAAGGCCCTCCCCCTGGGGGTCGCCAGCCGGCACTGTCTGGCTGACGGCACCCTGAGGAGACCCACTCTGTGGGAGCGTACCGGCCGATGGGAGGTAACCTGCGGCAGAAGGCGGTCTCGGAGATATCCAGGTCCGATTATTATCCAGATCACTTTTGCCCAATTTAGGGTAATATACCCAGATCTGCGAAGCACTGCAACACCCAGTAACTCAACTATTGAAAGGCTTCCGTGTTCTTCATAATCTCTCCCAAAGAGAGTTAAGTCCTTGACTTGACAACCATTTGTTTTGTGATCATTTGAAGTTAGGACACTGGGAAAAAAGTGACTTATGACCGTTTTTCACATTTATGACCATTGCAGCATCCCCTTGGTCACGTGATCAAAATTTGGATGCTTGACAGGTATTTATGACGGTCGCAGCGTCCTGGGGTCACACGATTCCCTTTTGCGACCTTCTGACAAGCAAAGTCAACAGGGGAGGCAGATTCACTTCGCGACTGGGTTGCTAACTTAACAAATGAAGTGATTCTGTGGTAAGAAAGGTTGTAAAATGGAGCAAAACTCACTTATTCTCTTCCTTAGCAACAGAAATGTTGGGCTCAGCTTTGGTCGTTAAGTTGAGGACTACCTGTAACCCAGCGGGACAGTATCACGAGGGGACATTGCAGGAAGAATCCCAAAGCCTTAATTTCAGCAGCACCTTCTTAAATTATTCCCACCAAATGTGCATTTGAAACAGAATCAACCTGGTAGAATTAATTTGCCAAGAAGCTCCACTGGATGGAAGAAGAGCTGGAGGAACAGATTTTGATACGGTGACCTTAAGCCCAAGTTGCACTTTGAAATGTTGCTTCAGTTCATTCAGGGGAGAGTGACGCCCGCTACTTATCATTAGCTAAAAGGAGGGCAATGTGTAGCACGAATGTTGAAGTTCCAACTTGTAGGTCTTCTGTTGCAGCACCTAAAGTCCATCAGCTGGGAGACAATGTCTGTGAAGTTACCTGGGAGCCTTTACAGCCAATGAAGGGCGATGCCATTGTTTACATATTGCAGCTTGCCACTGGGAGGGAAGCGGATCAGGTAATCCCAGAATGATTTTTTTAAAACAGATATTATGGGGAAACACTCCCACCCACCCCAAATACAATAACTCTGAATGCATTGTTACATATAAAGCAGGGGCATTTAACCTTGGCAACTCTTAAAGACCTTGGCCAGCTGGGGAATTCTGGGAGTTGAAGTCCACAAGTCTTAAAATTGCCAAGATTGGACACCCTTGTGATAAAAGATTATCACATGAATTGTCAAGCGCCAGGAAAATCGGGAAATTCAGGCAGTTCAAATGAGTATTAAGGATTTACTGCGAGCCTAAGCTCTCTACAAGAATCTGAACTAGGATTCAGTCAAGGGGAATTGGCAGTAGACAAGTCAATGGAATTCAAGGTGGGCTGGATTTAGATGGGACTCGTGATTAATGACACATTTGACCCCTCGGGCTCAGCGTGGTCATCTCCTACATCAGTGTTTCTCAACCTTGGCAACTTTAAGATGTGTGGACTTCAATTCCCAGAATTCTCCAGCTAGCATTGCTAACTGGAGAATTTTGGGAGTTGAAGTCCACACATCGTAAAGTTGCCAAGGTTGAGAAACATTGTCCTACATGGATCCCTCTTCCCAATTAGACCACCAGGTGGCCTCTCAGAATAACAGTGTAATCAGAATAACAGAGTTAGAAGGGATCTTGGAGGTCTTGTAGTCCAACCCCTTCAAGCAGGAGACCCTATTCCATTTCAGACAAATGGCTGTCCAGTCCGGCTGAATCACAGCTTACCGGGTGCTGGGTAACCTGTTACTCAAGTCTATGCACCTGAACGTTACCCAGATTGCCAAACATTGTATTAGATGTGACCATTAGATGTGACCATTGTATTAGATGTGACCATTGGTAGATCATCATCTTTTCAACCAGAAGGTTCAAAGATTTCCTGGAAGGACCAGAAGACCTTCTGTCTGAACCTCAAGGCGAGAGTCGCTGCCAGTAAATGTGAGCGTTACGGAGTTCATAGGCCAGTGTATATAGGCCTTACAGGTCAGGATAAGGCAATATTTAGGGTCTCCAGCTGGATAGCCAGGAGTACCAAGATAGGCATATCCAGATCTTTCAAGAACCAGTTCTAGGCCCCATCTGATGCTTTAAAAAGGGATTTGCCACAGAGCAAAAGGCCAACTCCAAGCATAGCTTTTATTTCCAAATGAGCGCAGTGCAGTGTGTGTTGGAAGGGGTGCCCACCTGTCCTCCCCAAAGCAAAGATAAGCTTAGATGGGAGCACCTAGGAGGCGTTGAGGGGGTGCAGTGGCCATCAGCAGTCTTATCAATCCCGTTTTCATTCAATGGGGGTTCCAAAACTGTCCATACCCATTTTGGGAACATGACCGGAACATCTCAAGAATTTCCGGTAGGCCCCAAAGTTTGAAGATTTCTGGCTTTGTGGAGCCCGGTTGCCTTGTTCTCAGCTCTGATGTGTTGTCTTCTCCTGCTCCTGCCTCAGATCTACAAGGGACCAGATACTTCCTACCGTGTCCCCAACGTGCAAACGAACTGTGAATACCGATTCAGGGTGTGCGCTGGGCGCCAGTATCAGGACTCCACTGGATGGCAAGAACTCTTTGGCCCGTATAGCCCAAACGCCACTTTCTCATCTCAAAAGCAGGAGTTGCTTGCGCCGTCTTCGGAGCCGGCTCCCGAACTCCTGAAAAGCAAGCGGAAGGCGCTGAGCGACGAACAGTTTGCGTTTCTCCTCCTCGTCATCTTTGCAACGGTTGCCATTTTGTTTGCCGTTATCATCCAGTACTTTGTGATCAAGTAAGTCGGTGGCCACGAGAAGCGACTTCATCACTCAGCTTTATAATTTTTTTTTTTCATACGGAAGTTTTACGGCTTGGGGTATTTATGTAAATTCCAATTAAAATGCTAGCTGGGAATGATGGAAGAAAGACAACACATTTCCATTTTTGCTGCTGAATAAACAGGTTGGACGGACAGGATGCCTTCCCCTCCTCTCCTCCCCATGACCAACTTCCCTCCGGGGACCCGAAGAAACCTGGGGGGAGGAGAGGGGAGAGAGAGGAGGAAGGGCAGACTGACCCGAAGAACATCCCTGTTACAGCACAGTGGTGCGCCTACTAATCAGGGTTAGCTGTTGAAAACAGCAGAAAAGAAAAAAAAAGCTGCCTTAATTCTCAAAGAGTTTTGACTTAATTTTCACAGTAAGTCCTGAATTCTCAAGTCCAGCGAGAAGGGAGGGCAGGAGACGAGCCGATTGGGTCCTGTATTCTAGGACGCAGCTGGAGGAAGCCACCTCAGATAATGCTGTAGATAAAAAATCCTACCCAAATACTGTCCACATTGACTTTCAGCGATAGCGCAACGTTAATTTTTCCAGTTCTTTTAACTGGGGGGGGGGCTGTCCTGTCCCTTCTAGGGCAGCAGCAAGTGTCCGTCAGCCTTTTTGAGTTTTTAATCCAAGGGGTCCAATTTACCTGGATGCAAGAGAGATTTGTGTTGGTCTTGAAATGTGGCGAGAAGCTCTCCTCTGCCCCCCACCCCCGCGTCCCCCCGCCCCGCTTCCAGAAGCGTTCATTTCTGATTTGAGATGCTTTCTCTTGTTGGTAAAAAAAAACAAAACAACAACAACAACAAATGGATGGCCCAATTCAAGATCTCTTCTCTGTGTCCGAGAGACTTAAGAATACCCTGTGCTTCTGACTTTAAAAAAACAGAAACAAAAACCGCTGCAGCGTTGGTTTTTCTTTTGTTTTCCAAGGGGAAAAAAAAAAAGCACAGCATTTTTTTTTTGTCTTTAATGAGAACAAAAAAAAAAAAGTGCATTTATGATAAATGTTTCACTATTTGGCTCAAACTGAGCAGAAATGTTTTTTGTACTATTCTTAACGTGGAATTAAAAAGCCGACTCTCTCGGGGGGGGATATCTCTTTTTTTTCCCCCCCCCATTTAATTTTGTTTCTCGGGGCGCCCTTCTAACGTCATCCACCTGATCAAGTCACGTGTGAAAATTATTTCTCCCCCCCCTTCTTCTTTCTCTCCCACCTCCTTAACCCCTCCCTTCTCCCCCCCCCCAAAAAAAAGTTAGGTCCAAGTTTTAACGTTAATTGTCACCTCATCCATAGCGGTTCTGTGTTCCACTGTTTTGGGTCTTGTGATTCCAAAGTCTTTTCAGTTTGGGATGAGAATTTCAGTAACATCTCTTGGCTCGTTTTTTTTTCTTTTATTTGTTTGAGGGGCTGGGGACGCGGGTGGGAGGGCAAATATCATGCACTACAGAGAAGCTGTTCTGTGTAAGGCCTCTGCAGCAAATACCTGTAAAATAAAAGTAATTAAACATTATCTGCTACTTTGAAAGCTGGAAACCATCCGTTTTGTTCTTCGGAAGAAGAAACTAAAAACAACAACACAACGACTAGGCATTTTGTTGAGTTTTCCATATTGGTAGGGACCGAAAAGCTCCACCTTAACGAAACATCCGAATGCTTGTACTTGTATATGGGACAGTGGACGTAACTTGTAAAACTCATGTTTAGCTTGAAACATGTCTGTTTCCAAAACAACACAACTGGCTGTTAATTCATCATGATAGCTTATGGTTTGTGGCATTGTGTTTGCATTTCACACCTGGGGGAAAACACTCACACACACACACAAACACACGTAAATGATATCATATCACTATCTTTAAAGTAGATTTATGGTGCAATCTGAAATTTATCTCTTTTCCCCCCCCCCATAAAATGTACTCTCCTCTTTTATGTGATCTATTTATTTTGATTTAAAAAAAAAAACAAATTCTGGAAAATGTATGTTTGAATGTATTGTTCTACTTGTAGCAGAACTTTTTAAGTTTAATCATTTGTTGTAATGGAAGCCTCTGCTCAGTGTTGAAAAGAGTTTTATACAAATGTTCGTGTCTTTAGTTTGCAGGAATGTTTACAACCTGTTCTCTTTCATTTCGTTTCATACTTCACTTTTTTATAAAATAAAATAGATTTGTCTTTGGCAGATTTCTGTTGCGAAAGTGACAAAAAAAACCCACAAAATTAGGTGGGGAGGGAGAGATCTCACCGAATTGGCAAGAGTGTGAGAAATACATTTTTTTTTTAAATTAGATTTTCTGAATGAAATACTAACCAAAATTATGACTTCCTAGAAAGTTAAATCTTTAATTTGTATTTGTAATTGCCACAAAATGTTTATTATATTTCCAGGAAGTTTACTGGAAAGCATAATGTAGAATTTTATATTTACAGCTATACATTCCAGATTGATGTACCTAGTGGCATTAATGTATTAGGTCTCCTTTTTCTCTTGTATTGTAATTTTTGCCGTATTTCATACTTATGTTAAACCTGCCAGGCATCGTATTACTAAATTGTAACTATCAAATAGATAATATATTTAATATGGCCAATAAAAATAAAAAAAACGTTGTTCACATTTGGGGTTGTGGAGTTGCTGTGTCTCATCTCTCACACATACATACAGTGTACAACCAGGCTCTCCAAACTTGGCAACTTTAAAAGTTGTGGACTTCAACTCCCAGAATTTTAAAAGCTGAAGTCCACAGGTCTTAAAAGTTGCCAAGTTTGGAGACCTTTGGTGTACAGGAATTGGCCCGAAGCATAGAACAAACATTTTCAATATACTTATTTCTTTTTTAACACCATCTACAAAGAACATCTTGAGTTTTTCATCTTCCCGTGGGTGAAATGTAAAGATAGATCCTTGCATCCTACACTCATATTCCCTGATTATTTGATGGTCAAAATTGAACAGTGATATATTGTCAACCAGCTACTATCAAAATTAAAAGTTCAAACGATCTGAACCCGATGACCTTTAACATCCCAGAATATTTCTCTCCAGATAGCATCAACCAGGCTGGACATTATGCTGAGGTCCTTTGAAACACTTACCCATCAGATGTGGGTAAATTAATTCAGGTGGATCACCCGAGTCCGCTGGGGGTTATGGTATCTGAAGCTTATTACTCCCAGAAGAACTTGCATTTTTGGAAAAGCCAAAGACCTGATGCTAAAATATGGGAAAGAAAGTCCGTTCACTTTCTGTTTGGCTTAAAATATATTCCTTACTACATTTACAGAAGCAGGAAGCATTATTAAACTAGGAGCAAATAAGAAAAACAAACAAACAAAAAACGGAAGCCAGCACTTCTTTTTCCATTACGTATTTATACAGAGTAAAAAGATTGATTTCTATCGATTATCACCAGCGCGATAGTTAGTCCTCCACTTACAACTACAGTTGAGCCCAAACTTTATGCGGCTAAGTGAGAGATTTGTTCGGTGAGTTTTGCCCCATTTTACGACTTTTCTTGCTGCGTTTGTTTGTGAATCACTGCAGTTGTTAAATTAGTAACAAGAGTTGTTAAACAAATCGAGTTTCTCCACTGACCTTGCTTGTCCAAAGGTCGCAAAAAAGGATCACATGACCCATCATAAATCTGAGTCGGTTGCCAAGCGGCTGAATTTTAATCCCACGACAAAGTAGGTGTGAAAAATGGTCATGTCACTTTTTTCTAACAGTCACTAAACTGTTGTAAATCAAAGGCTATCTCCAATTCAACACATATGACATCCCTGTAATGCATTAAGGTTGGTATACTACACCCCCTTCTTAGCTACAGGTGATTTATTGTACTCTGGAATAGAACAAGTTTGGCTCCAATGGATAAATTGAGTACACTTTCAAATTCTTAATTAGAAAGCAATTAGCTGCTCTTGGGGGAAAACAAAGCTAATGCAATTTCAAAACTTTTTTTTTTTAAGAAAGGGAGTGGATCCCAGGAGTAATAAGGATGAAGAGATTTGTCCTCTCCAAGTCAGAGGAGGAATTAATGTGAGAGGAGGAATTTGACCTTGGGTGTTAAAAATATGCCAATATCTTTAGAAGTAACATTGCATCAAAAGAGCTCTAAAGAAAAACCATACAGCACTTTAAGAATTAATAATAACATCAAATCAGACCTTGACAAAAATCAGCCAAGATTAAGAATCTTAATTCTTAATTCTTTTAGGAGGGCTGTTTTAACATGGGTCAGGTTAAAACATGTCAAGTTATTCTGAATTACACAACAATGTATTTTTGACTCCAAAGGCATTTTTGTTACACAAAATATAAGGACCCCACCTGTCTAGAATCTCATTAAACATAAAGAACAAAGTTTATGGTGGTTTTAACAAAGAGGATAAATAATCTTTAGCTGACATAATTCAATCTGATCAGACTGCAACAGACCTAAAAAGATACATGAGATTATCAGATATTGAATTTATTTGATGCCCTTCTTGTTTCAAAGCAACTCTTTTTGAACGCCACTGACAATATTAAGCAGAAAATAGGAAAGTGGTTTTTAACTTTTAATCTTAGAAAATGAAAATAGAGAAATGAAAATATGGACTGACCTTTTATATTCTTGAAAAATACAAATCATGTCTCAAATTTTCCTTCGTGGATATAAAGGATTTACAACAAGAATCTAAGGCAGCTGTACCATGGAATACAATTAGAAAAATGTAGAAACAGAAAAAAAGGCCAAATCTTATATATTTATGGCATTAGAACCTTTAGGGTGGTTCTAGAGTAAAATTTAAGGAACCAAACTGATGATGCTGTATAGCCATTGATTTATTTTTTGCCCTGAATAATAATAATAATAATAATAATAATAATAATAATAATAATAATAATAATAATAATAATAATAATAATAATAATAATAATAATAATAATAAAAATAAAAAAAAAAGTTGGAAGGGACTTTGGAGGTCATCTAGTCCAACCCCCTGCTCAGGCAGGAAACCCTATACCATTTCGGACAAATGGCTGTCCAGTCTCTTCTTAAAAACTTCCAGTGTTGGAGCATTCACCGCTTCTGGAGGCAGGTTGTTCCACTGGTTAATTGTTCTAACTGTCAGGAAGTTTCTCCTTAGTTCTAGGTTGCTTCTCTCCTTGATCAGTTTCCATCCGTTGCTTCTTGTCCTGCCTTCAGGCGCTTTGGAGAACAGCTTGACTCCCTCTTCTTTGGGGCAGCCCCTGAGATATTGGAACACTGCTATCATGTCCCCCCTCGGTCCTTCTCTTCATTAAACTAGACATACCCAATTCCAGCAACCGTTCCTTATATGTTTTAGCCTCCAGTTTAAAAAATGGTTTGGGGACTTTCACATTTCAGGTAATGTTCTGCTTCCACACAGAGAACACAAATGGAGCAGAAACAGAAAGAGGAAACACTTGGTATCAATCTTTGCACTTTCCACATGTCTCAACCGATCAGAGCACTAAGGCAGCCATCGAAGGAAGCCATCTAGACCGCTTTCTTACCTCCAGCTTGCAAGAGTGGCTCCTTTAGTCGATTTGCAGATCTTCAAAAGGGAAGGTGGATTTTGTATCCGAAGTTGCAAAACCTGGTCCCCAGGGGCTCCTTAAAGGAAGAAAAGCTGTTAGAACAGAATCAAGAACCACATTGCTTTGCTGGCTGAGAGGCTGGAAGTTGGGCATTAAAAAAAACCCGGTTAAGTGCCAACTCAGTTGGAGAAACAGTCCTCTCCTCACTGCACCAAACACCTCATCCTCCTGCTTTCCTTTTCAACCATCCATCTATCCTGCCATTTAAACCGCTGGGCCTGCCTCTTCCACTCCTCCATAGCGTACCCATCTATCAGAGCAAAGAGCACCCAACGTCACCTGGGAAAGGTAAGAGGGAGAATGGAGATTTGGCAAAGTGGGTTCAAAAGCTGCCCCATTAAAACTAGACCAGCAAGAGCATTACGCTGGAGATGTGTCTTCCCTTCCTTCCAAGACGTCACCAATGGGGCCTCCTCAGGGTGCCGTCGGCCAAACAATGTCGGCTGGCGACCCCCAGGGGAAGGGCCTTCTCTGTGGGTGCCCCCACCCTCTGGAACGAACTACCCCCCGAGATCCGGATGATTCCGGATCTCCTTACTTTCCGCCGCGCCCTCAAGACATGGCTTTTCCAGCAAGCGGGCCTGACCTAGGGAGGATTTTAGTTAGGGA